GTTTCGTTCTGCTGTGCATGGTGTCGCTATGAGTTGGTTCCTACTCGATGGCACCTGACAACAACAACAATGAGTCTTCCTGTAATCCTGATGCCATGTTCTTTTTCATAGAGTACAGCTTCTTGAATTATTTGGTCAGTGTACAGATTGAATAAGCATGATGAAATGATAAAACCCTGATGCATACCCTTCCTGATTTATACCATGAAGTATCACCTGATTCCCTTTGAAACACTGGCCACAGTTAAATGTCTGAAGTCCCATTCTTCTCACTGTTATCCGTAGTTTGCTATGATCCTCACAGTTGATTACTTTCGCATACTCGATAAAACACAAGTAACAATCTTTCTTTTATTGTCTGCTTTCTACCAAGATCCAGTTGTTGTCAACAATGATATCCCTTGTTCCACATCATCTACTGGATTTTACTTAAATTTCTGGCTTGTTGTTGTTAAATGCCATTAGTGGGTTCCAACTTATAGTGACCCTTTTTGGAGTTTCCAAGGAGCAGCTGATGGGTTTGAACTGACGACCTTGTGGTTAGTAGTGCTGTGTTTAATCTCTAGTGCCACAGCACGAATTTCTGGCTAGGAACCATTAATGATCATTGATTAAATGCAATAGCACACTACTAGAACAAGCAAGTTGCTCACCCGGGAGACATCACAGCAAGTGGTCAGGTCCCCTCAGGGGAAACCCCTTTCCAAGACTAACACTCAATGGGAATACACACTCTGATTTGTGACCATGCTCGCCACCGATAAGGGGAAGTGAAAAACAGTAATGAAGCTACAAGCTAAGCCCTACCACGTTCAATAGACTCCTGTGAACCCGAGTGGAGACCTGGTTGGCCAGCAGTGTGGCAAGATCTGGGGACTCTTGGGCCTAGAGTCAGTGACATAGCTGCAGAGGACTAGAGTAGAGAGTGAAGCGTCCAGCTGATAAGAAAAGGCATATGCATAAGAACATCCATATGTGCAGATAATACCCACTTGACCTGGCCTCACTGACTGGATGATCAGAGCTCAACTAGAAAAAGAAAGAAGAAAAAAA